CTGTTTTTTGCCTCTTTTTGTATCTGTAAGGCTTAGCCCAGCACCTAGCCTGTATATAGTAGGGGCTTAATAAATAAATATTGATTGATTGACTGACCATTGACTGAAACAAACCAAAGTGAGAGTCCTGTCCAAAGACTTCCCAGAAGTGATTGAGAAGTACTCACTATACAAACTTAATCAGGAATAGAATAGCTATGTATTTTGTCCAACACACACACACACACACACACACACACACACACGCTGCTTAAAACATGAAAGACTTATAAATGTGCAATAATTAATACTTAAAACATGAACCAATAACCCTTATACTAGTATACCATCCTTGAAGGTCAAGACACTTTGTGGGACCTCTAAACAAATATTTTCATCTCACACCCTGTCTGTCTATAGAACTTGTTGTTGTTCAATCTTTCAGTCATGTCCTACTCTTTGTGACCCTATGGACTATACTATCCCTGGAGTTTTCTTCCCACAGATACTTGAGCCATTTGCCACTTTCTTATCCAGTCAATCCTTTTGTCAGGCAATTAGAGATTAAGTGACTTGCTCCAGGTCTTACAGCTAGGAAGTGGCTGAGGCTGTATTTGGCCCAGTACTCATCCATTGAGACACCAGCTACTCCACCTGTAGAGTTAGGGAAGTCCAAATCTCCCCACCACCTAGGACATGATTTAGACTTTCTTAGTTCTTTCGGGTACAGAATCTTATTGAGAAGCTATTATGGAAATCACCAGCTGCTGGGTAACCAAGATCCAGCTCAGAAACTCCTGACTTTTATCTCAGAGAAGATTACCCACAGAACTGTAAATGCACATTTCTCAGTATTACTTCAGGAAAAAAAAAAAAAAAAAAAAAACCAAAACACCAAACAGAGTTAGCTAGGGACTAGAGGTCCAGACTTGAGCTCATCAAAAGAAGCACATGTTCTCATAAACCATTATGGCTGATGGGTGAGAGGAGGGCAGAAAAATCCCCTCTTTCCCTGATTGAAAGTCTAAGGGAGAGTGGGTTCTGTCTGTGGCCCAACTAAGAGGTCACTACAAAAGAGAACAAAAACTCTTTTTTCCATTCTTTTATATCCCACAGTGTTGGAGTTTCTTCCTTTCATTAGGTTCCTTTTCATTAGAGCCCCAGTCTCAGGGACCAATCAGGGATTGCTTTATTATCTCAGACAAGCATGTGCCCCTCAAAAAGAGGCCAGTGTGATTGTTCAGCTTCATCCCCCTTACATGAAAAAAGACCTTTTATTTTGATATACAGATTCTAATATAAAACATTCATTGGAAACACTTTAAAATGTGAAATAGTAAAATTTTGTAATGATGGGTTGGTTTAAAAAAAAGAAAGGACAAACCAAATCTACTTTGGAATGATAGCATCATAGACTTTTATCTTTTTTTTCCTTTCTAAAACTTAAATATACAATAAGAAAAGAAAAAGAAACATTATAAACTTAAATACTAAAACTGAAAGAAAAAAAGCATTGCCATGTGCACAGCAGAACGTAAGCAAGAATTCAAAATATAGAGCAATAAATTGCCATTTCAAGAAAGCCTATATAATAAATACTACACATTGTGTTCAGAGATGTCCATCTTTTCCTTGCTTCCTTGTAAGTTTTCTTTTGTTTTCTGCTGTGTACTTTTTACTTTGTTCTTTCCCCTCCTTCCTCCCCCCTCTTCCCCAAGAAGGCTACAATTAAGCACAGATATGCATATACACATATATACACACATACATATACACATACCTACATACTCTTACATATACTTAGATATCTATAATACTCATATATAGACATATGTACTATATTTGTCTGTCCTCTGTTTCTCTGAGGATGGATGACATCTTCCTTCATAAGTCTAAGTCTTTCCATATTTTTAAGTCTACTAACTCGTCATTTCTTATACCACAGCAGTATTCCTGCTTTATACTGTCTAGTTATTTTAAACAGTCTAAAACAATATTATTTAATATGGCTGACATATAGTGCAGTTTCCTTATTTTTCTCTTTTGATTAAATCTATTTTAGCTTTAATTTAGTCTGAGATCATGATTACTACCCCTCATTTTTTTCCCTAATAAATTCTACTCCTGATCTTTATTTTATGTTTGTGTGCATCTCTCATTTCCTATCCCTCCTGACTCCTCTACTTTACTTCTACCCTTCCTATTACATAACCCCCCCCCAAAGATCCCTCCCTTGTTCTCTCCCCCGAATTAATCTAGACACACTTCGATACCCCCCATCCTATTCCCTCATCCTCTTCCCTCTAAAAATCTCGTCCCCGTTCCCTCAACCTTTTATTTCTTTCTGAATTTAGAAGACTTTATACCCTTCTAGATATATATGTATTGTTCCCTCTTGAATTCATTCCCAATGAGAGTAGGGATCCAAAACTACCAGCCTTCCTCCCCCATCTAATTCCTCTGTTTCAGTTCTTCCTCTCGCATCTCAGTCCTATAAGATAATTACTCTTTTTACCTTTTCTTAGAAGGTATTATTTTTTAGAATCACATCATACTCAGCTCTATCCTAGTCTTTCTTTCAAGCTACTGAATTACTAATTACAGTTTTAGATAGTTTACATTTCTTTGTATAAAAAGTAAACAGTCTGTCCTTATTGAGTCCCTTGTAATTAGTCTTTGATGTTTTCCTTATATTTCTCTTGGATCTTGTTTGTCAGATTTTCTATTAAGTTCAGGTATCTTTGCAATAAAATCCTGAAAGTCTGGCAATTCATTTAATGTCATTTTTTTTCATTTAGGATTGTGCTTAACTTTGTTGGGTATTATATTTTGATATTTTTGGCTGCAACCCCAGTTCTTTTGCTCTTCAGTATATAGTGTTCTAACACCTGCATTCTTTTAGTGTAGCTGTTATTGGTCTTGTGTGATTCTAATTGTGGTTCCACCATATATGAATTGTTTTTTTTTTCTTGTTGCTTGTAATATTTTCTCCTTGAGCTGGGGGTTTTGGAGTTTAGCCATGATATTTCTATAGATTTTCCTTATAGGATCTCTTTCGGGTGATGATCAGCGGATTTTTTTTCTATTTCTACTTTTCCCTTTGTTCTAACACTTCAGGACAATTTTATTTAATCATTTCTTATGTTGTATCCATTCTTTTTTTGATTATAGCTTTCAGGTTGTCCAATTATTCTTATGTTTTCTCTTCTTGATCTGTTCTCCAGATCAGTCATTTTTCTTATGAGATGTTTCACATTCTCTTTTACTTTTTCATTCTTTATATTTTGTTTTATTATTTCTTGATCTCTTATAACTTTGCTAGTTTTCCCTTGGGGAATTCTAATTTCCATGTAGTCATTTTCTTCTGTAAGATTCTGGATTTCCTTTTCCACTTGATTAACTTTCTTTTCATAATCTTCCTATTTTCTTGAATTGTTTTTTTTCTTCACCTCAATCTCTCTCATTTGATTTTTAAAGTCTTTTTAAAGTTTTTCTATGAGTTCTTTTTTGGGCAGATGACCATTTGACATTACTCTTTGGGGTAGCAGAGGCTATTTTCCTCCTCTGAGGACAAACTCCAGTCTTCTCAATTCCTGTAGTAACTTTCTGTGGTTAGATTCTTTCTCCTTTGCCTGCTTATTATTATTATTATTATTATTATTATTATTATTATTTTAATTTATAGCAACTTGTTGCAATCACTTGTAGTCCTGAGGTATGAAGGATTGTGCCTCTGACCTCAGGTCCTTCTTCAGTTCTCCCCTCTTCCCTGGAACCAAATCCAAGAACTCTGCCTTTTAGTAAGTGTCCACAACCAGCAGCTTCCCAGTCCCACTGCTTCTGCACTCACCTGGCGGGTGCTAGTTCCTTCTCACCCAAGCCATCATCTAAGAAGCACAGCTGGGCCTGGCATCCCTTATCAGCAGAGGTTCCCTCAATCTTCCTTTGCTCAGACCCCCAAGTTACAGGAAATAAAAACACTAACATGCAACAGAGGCTGACTTTGTAGCCAATGCATTAATTTTCTGTTAACTTGTTTATGTTTCTTATCTTTTTTTACCTCAGGGCCTCAGTTTTTATCTCTGTAATTTGGGGGAAAATCATGGAAAAGAATGACTAGATAGATGGATAGATAGATAGATATAGATGTCAATCAATTCTTTCTTTGTCTCTCTATGTCTCTTTCTCTCTCCTTCTCTGTCTCTGTCTCTCCTCTTACAGTGATGAAGTCATACATCCAGACCAAACGTGAATATGTATTTGTATTTATGGTTTTCTTTGTTTTTAATCTGGCGTTTTGATTTAATCAGGATAAGAAGTTCCTGGTGAAGAAATATCCTCTGCCAGAGCAGATCAGCAACTCTTCTGCAAAGTGCATTTTATATATTGTTTCCTGGGTCCTTCAGAAGTCATTATTTGCTCATGGGAACTAAGGTCATTGTCAGGGACAGAATTGGTCTTGACCTTAACGCTGAGGCTATTCTTCTATCACTCATAAGTCATTATTAAAGATTAATATTTTGGGCAATTATTTTCAACGTACTGGGTTTATATTTGAAATATAATTGTGTGGCATTTAGAACCTTCCCAGGAATCTTTGTATTTCGTTTTGCAATTGGTCAGTTGCAAAGGAGGATGATATTCAGACTTAAAAACTTTTAGGCAATCCTTCCCTGTGAAAATGTAGTAGTAAGAACAGAAATATAATGATTTCTAGTATAATTTAAGAATCTCTCCTACGAAAGTGAAGGAATCATTTTTGTGCTTTCAAACAAATTGGGATTCTCCTTCCTCTCACCTAGTACCCACGATTTAAAGAGTTAGATGTGAAAACCTTGTTGGCAGGGAATAAAGCCAGATTCAGAGTATGCAATTTAACTAAGTAAATGTTTCATTCTCCTCATGAGTAGTAGTATTTTGTCATCATTGCATAAGTCAGAGTAGATTGAAACAAACTTCAATAGAAAATAAACTACATTACCATTAGATTACTAAGTGTTTTGTTTCTCTTTCTCTCCAAGGGTCCGTCATGCTGGGATGATGTTCTGATTTCAAACAGAATAAGTGGTATTTGCCATTCCCCAGATTGCAATGGAACTGGAGCGGTAAGTACCTGGCCAAAAGACAATGCATTTTGGAGAAAAGAATGATGCTATCTATTTGTGAAACATATACCTAGGATCCAAATCCCATGCAAGAGTTAGAGTTCGTTGTGATATATTTCTGCTAACAAATAGGCTGGACAGAACCAAGAACTGATGTGATTCTCATATAATTGGCATCACCAAAAGGTTTTTTTCTCACTTAAATGATACTCCTATTCCAGTTAAAATAGCATTGTGTAGAGTTGCTTTTGATCTGTTTGTAGCACCTTTCTAGGATTTCCTGGAAAGGTTTCACATTTGGGTATTGATTCCTTGCAATTCTAAGAACTTCTTTATAAAGTGAAATTAATGGAATGACTAACAGCTTAGCAGCTTAGAATGAGGGAGGTAAGGTAGGGAGAGAAGGTTCGATGTTAATCTCTCTGTCATGCACCATAATGGCATTTTACATTTATGTTCCATTTAACCCAGAAAATTGCTTTTTGTTTTCTGTTACCATCTTTTCCTGACCAATTTCCTGACTTGCAGAATTTTTTTTTTTTTAGAAAATGTGCTATGGATTATTGAATATCTTAAGTATAAGCCCATGCTCTCCAACTTTGTGCTTACCTCTTTATGAATAAAGCATTTGATTAGTGTGAGAAGCAGTGTTACATAATGAGTAGAGAGCTAGTGTGGAAACCATGATTGTTGTTTGTCCTTCTTTTTCAAAGAGCACCATGACATCAGGGAGGTGATGCCATGACATACAAGTGAATTGGATTTAAGTGAGGGACGGCTGTGCAAAGTCACCAGCTTCATTTTCTCCTTTAGGGCCATCTGGGTCCAGTGGTGAGTTATAGATCAGGATGACTGGAGATGGCCCCAGAAAACATGAAGACTTAGGTTCAAGCCCTGCCTTAGATAAATATTGGGCAAAGATCCCAAGCAAGTCAATCAATTTCTCAGGGTTCTAGGCTTCTCTCTGGGACTGTAAGTTGCTTACCTGCAGTTTTATGAATGCTCCCTTACCTGAGAGTTCCCAAAGTAGTGAAACCACTGGTCCAGTCTTTAATCCAGTCTTCCTTGGTAAGTATAGAATTTATTTTGAAATAATTTTCTTTCAATGAACAAGCAAGCATTTATTTTATTTTTCTTGTACATTTCTTGGCAATTGGTGGTGCAGTGGATAGTTCCTTGTACCTGGAGTCTGGAAGATCTGAGTTCAGATCCACCCTCAGACACTTAATAGCTGTTTGACCCTGGGCACATTACTTTACCTCTATCTGCCTCAGTTTCCTCAACTGTGAAATGGCATAGCACCTACCTTACAGGGTTTTAGTGAGCATTAAATGAGATAATACTTGTAAAAATTATTTAGCATAGCTCCTCACACATAGTAGATGGCATAGAAATGTTTATTTGCTTCTCTTTTTTTCTCCCAAAATGGAACAAAAGAAGAAAGATGAAACCCTTACAACAAATAGGTGTAGCCAAACAAGCAAATTCCCACATTGGCCTTATCTAAAAATATATGTCTTATTCTGCATCTTCAGTCTATCATCTTAGGAAAGTTATTTTTGAAAAATTTTTGAATTCTAAAAATAATTTCAGAGTAATTTTGTTCTTAAATTTATCAGGATGGGCAATATTGTAGCTAGTGTTTTATTGCGTCATTTATATTTTGTGATATTTTCTTTTACTTTTTACCCTGTATAGCTTGAGGCCATAACAATATGATGGCATACATTTTCCCTGTTTTGGCAGTGGAGATGTCAGTACTGCTGAAATAGAGACACTGCTCTGATGCCAACACAAATGTCATTGTTAGTTCACAAACTGTCACAATCAGCTGGCAGCTAATAGTCTCTCTAAAATATAGTATCTGTCACTAGCAACAGGTAAAATATTTGGGCTCAATACATTACACCTGAGTAATCCCTGAAATCTACTGGATTGCCAAAAGTTGGGGTGTTACCTACCAGCTAGAAAAAAGAATCCTGTAAAGGAATAGTGAAATGGATTGAAATGCTTCTTAGGGGCTGGAATGAAAATTAAATTATTATTATTTTATTTAATGAAGCAAGCTGTTAAGCAAACTATTACTCAAGCTCTAGGCCCTAGCACAGTCTTGATTTTGAAATACTCCTTGTTCAAGAATCCTATAAATTGGGCCATCAGAATGACTTGAGAGAAGAAACATCCAAGAGCATGAGGGGGTCCTGTCAGTTTATACTGTTTATATACAGTGAGTATGTGTGTGGGTATGTAGACACACATACATACAGTTTATATATAAATATATACATATATGTTTATATATACTATTTATAGAAATAAATTTTATTATATATTAATTATATTAACATATAATATAATATTAAATATATGCATTTTATGTATTTCTCAAGTAGAGCTATGCTTGGATTTAGAATAATTACAAATCAATAAAAAATGTTTTTAGCAAGCTTTTGCCTATAGTGCTGAGCACAAAATTTTATTCCATACTTCTAACTCCAACTTTATGACCTTGTGATGAAAAATGCTGGATAATATGGTTCAAAATAAAGATAGAAAAGAGGTCAAAGACTCATAGACTGCTTAGAAACTTCTGCTTGAATATTAAGAATACTTTCTTCTAGAAGAGAGTAAAAAGCATTGGGCAAGGTAAGCCAAAAATAACATCATGTTTAAAAGAACGAAATTTTCAGCTAAGCAGCAACTGATTACTGATGTGGGAGCCATTACAGAATGAGCTTTCTGTCTATAGTCAGACCATGGGCTAGTTAGAGCAAAGATCAAATTGAGCACCATCCTGAGGAAAGGATAAAGGTGAGAAGAAGACAGAACAGGCAATTATAACAGCTTGAACCCAGCCTATTTTAGAACAATCTATTGGCATAAAACATAGGAACAAGAAGAAGGAAAAGACATTGATGAGTGCATCATTTCATATAGAAGTTTAAACTATATTCATGCAAATACCACAATGAGGAGGAGGCCAAATTTGCAACCACAGTAAGATGAAATATTAGACTAAATCTGTTCACTGTTCTAGTTGAGTCTAAGTGAGGGAAGGATCACTTTAGTCTGCAGAATCCCATCAGTATGCACACTTATATGTATGTAGGCACACATGCATATATGCATATCTGTCTGCAATACATCTGTGGTAAATATCAGGGGTAAATATACAGATATACATATATACTTATCCATGCATATATGAAGCAGAAAGGAAAGTAATTTCAGATTCATGGTAAGACTGCATAAATGATATTTCCTTGCATGAATGAAATTAAACTTACCATGCCTTGTTCAAAGACATGAAGCTTCAACTTTTTGTATAAATCTGTAATCCTTCATAGTATATTTAACCTTATGCTATAGTGAGCAGAAGCTATATACTTCATACATATGTATATATGATTAGGTATAGCTCTTTATACATATGTGCATAAACACACATACATTAAAATCTCTGCCATATATTTTTAGAAAACTTAGCTGCTTAGATTATAAATCTTGAAATTTGAAAGCAACCTCCCCCTGATCCTTAAATGTTAGCTTTTAAAAATTTATCCTTTTTGGGATCTTTTCAAAAATGGATTCTTCAATCACAAGGCCTCCTTTCCCTTTTACTTTCCTTCATTATTATTGTATTATACAGTCTGTTGTATAGATCTATGAAATGAAAATATTTTTCCCTTGATGAAAGCAAAAAGTACTATAAAGGTTTTTTTTTTCAAAAAATGAAACAGATGTTTTTGAATAGATATTTTTACTAAATTATTTTCTCTTTTTATATTGGCATAGCACATGGGGTACCCCACAATTCAGAGAATGGGTCCCTCACGTGATGCTAGCCAATATTCATGATACTCTGTTGACCCATATCTATTCCGTTCTAACTCACTAAACCTCACTGGAGTGTTTACCTTCTCTGGGCAGTCAGAGGACACTGCAAAGGCATTTTATGAAATAGTGGAGTAAGACAAGTAGCAATAAAACATATCCCCCATAAAACTGGGACACTTTCTCCACCCAAATAGGCACACAGTTAGGGAGAATAGACACATATAGGGAACATATGTAGCTACAGTTCTCATGTGGCTGGATTTGCACATAAAGAAATGTGTGGCCAGGCCATGTATATAGAGGGAGATATATAGATATATAGAGAGAGACAGAGAGACAGAGAGAGACAGAGACAGAGAGGGAGGGACAGAGAGACAGAGACAGAGAGAGACAGAAAGAGACAGAGAGAGACAGAGAGAGACAGAGGGAGAGACAGAGAGAGACAGAGAGAGAGCAAATGCATTACCAATGCATATCATATGCTTTGAGTGACCCTTCAGGGCTGTTGATGTTTTCCAGTGATGTTGTTACAATGCTTCCACCAGGCCTGCAACCTGCAGGTTTCTGCTGCCGGTGTAGTCTCTGCTGGACTTTGCTCCACTGATCCCTGGGTCACTTCTGGTTGCTGCTAAGTATTGTTTCATTGCTTCACTGTGTGCTTTGTAATGGAACTGCTCTTTTGCTTCCTTTTTCTGGCTTCCCCTAGAGACCTTGACCGAAGTGATTACTTTGCTTCATGAAAGACTGGGTTCTACATACCTATGTGCCTACCATACTGCCTAAAATCTATTCATGGACGTTTGGGGCTTTCTGAACCCTAGGTAATAACCCTTGAACTCGGAGAAATCTTTGCATGAGAGATGATCATTTCCCTGTTCAGAAATTCAATGAAGAGAACCTCATGCCAAGTAGCTTAGTATAAGAGGCAGTGATGATACAGCCCTACTCATAGAGACAGACTAAGCATGAAGAAAAATGAACTAAAAAAAAAAAAAGAACTCTATTGGATTTGGCAGCTGGTTATTGGTGACCCTTGAGAGAGTAATTTCAGTATAATGATGGCAGAAGGCAGATAGCAAGGGATTGAAGAAAGACAAGATGATGAGTATGTGTCAGCAATCATTTAAAGGCAGCTTTTAAAGAAGTTTAGGAAATTGTGGAAA